ATAAAAAAGGAACCCAACAAATGTTTCATGTGTAAAATCTTGTAGGTATAGTAACTCTTAGCTATAGTCAGATAAATGTATTGGGAGAAAAATTACAGTAATAAACCCATAAATGTAGTGGAGTAAACGTATAATGAATTAAAGTAAAAGTAAATTAAATAAAGTAGAGTAAAAGCATAATGAATTAAATACTCAAGTAATGATCAGGTACCTCAAAATATATACTTAAACTTACTTTTAGACTTACTTACTTTCCATGATGGTATATTAACTGATAATAATAATAATAATAATACCTTCCTATCTATAACAATGTATTACATTGATACTCGTCTTTATTCATCACAAATGTTCCACTGGATTTTCACCAAGATGTCAAAGGAAACTTAGAGATGTTACATATGTTGTTAGGCATGTAATATATTAAAAGCAGCCTATATTCTTCAGCACAAAAAAGTACAGTGTGTGTACAGCTTTTTTGTGACCATCTGCTTAGGCAGCTCATAGTAACAGAGAGCAGTTTTAACTTTGCCTTTCAGGACGTTTTTGCAGCAGTGCCTTCATAATTGAAACCACCGATAACTGTTGGGCTTGTTGGATTTAATGTGACCTGAGGATTAGACAGTGGGCCCTATGGACATTAACCAGAGAATGAGTACACTTTCACATTGACCCCTGCCCCTCATTCCTCATGGGATGTTTTTTTCTAGTAAAAAAATTTAAAAGGTCACCATATTTTTCCTTTAATGCTGCATATCTGAAAGAGATGGGCTTTCCCTTGTCCAGCTGATAAAGTGGGCTCTCAGTCCTTAAGCCCTTTGAAGGGCTGTGCAGTGTAGCTATGCAGCTGTGCTGGGAACCTGACCGGGTTTACCTGCACTCACAAAAACTGGCTTCATTCTTCAGAAACAGCAGCTGTGAAAATGAACTCACACTCCATGATATCAAACCAGACAATGTTATGCATAGTGCAGGTAGAACTACTCACTTTGTTAGCAAGTTTGGTCGTGTTGAAATGTGTTAGCAGCAAGGAGCATGTTGTAGTAGTCCGTAACAGACTCAAACGTGACATAACTCTGATGTTTGAATAGAACATTTTATGAGTACAATCTTAGCATCCTCCTTTAGACAGGAGGATTATGTTTCCAGCCATATAATAGAGCTCATGATGGTATGTCGAAGCCAGGACTGTGTAAGGCTGACAGCTGGTGTGGTTTCATCAGTTTCACCATCAGCAGCAGCTTCTCATCCTCCAGTTGTCCTTTGGATCCTCAGTCAGCAACTCAATTTGTCACTGATTGTCACAATTTCTCCTAATCCTTGTTTGTGTACATATGCCTGTGGTCCGGCATATGTACATGAATATACATTACCAACCTCTTCAGATTTAGCAGGTATGCGTTCACTTTTGTGACATCACATCCAGTTTGTCACATCTGATGCAGGTCAAATCCATAGTGGTGCTAGAGCAAATTCAGGGGATCGCCAAGGTCATTTGGAACTCTGAATGTCTGTACATGTTACTGACATATTCCAGTGCACAAAGGCCCCAGCCACTTCCATGCCTAAAAATCTTAAAACAACATCAAGAGCAAGAGGCAACCAAATCACTGCATGTCAGATTACATTTTCTATTAACAAATAATGAATTATTGTTTAATTATGTACTTGACAGGCCACAAATATGTTGATGCTGAATTCAAATTGAATAAAAATTTTATAGCACTAATTCACAACAACAACCATCTCAGGGCACTTTACATAGTAAGGTCTAGACCTGTATTATAAGGTAAAACCCAACCCAGTGTCCCTTAAGCAAGCACTTGACAACAGTGGAGAATACTGAAGATATCAGTAAAAGGTTAACAGACTTCATATTTGTTTTACACTGAAATATTCATACTCCAACATTGTTAAACAGTTTCATAGCTTTATTTAGACTCTCCTAGATCTTGGCTGAAGTTAGTGAAAGACTGTGGTCTGGTTGAATACAGAGAGAGTTCACAGTGACTTCAGACATAACCTGTTTATTTACACTGAACCAATTTCCCTATTCTTTTCCTTCTCTGCTGGGAGAGCTGTATGCTTTGTATGAAAACCAGCCATACTAACCACATCCTAATAAATGTATTTCATCTGTTCATTCATTTATTCAAAAATAAAAAAGTTTAAATTATAAAATCCAACAATTACATTGCCACCAAAGCATACTTGGAAAAACAGTTTAGAAGTATATGAACCTAATTTCTGGGAGACCCAGTTGCTATTCAGAGAGTACAATTAAAGTGACGTGACAAAACAACTTTTACAACTCAAGCAAATTAATTTAAAACAATATAATCACTTGACAGTTTTTTTTTTTAAACAAAAAACACATTGTCCCAATAACTGAGCTCAGGGGAGTGTCACACAAACCTCATATAGGAGAATAAATTGTTCTAACTGATTTGTTTCACAGTGGAAGCCAGTTCATACTGGTGTCAGATAGATGAAAGCATACACTTGTTTAGTATTTTTAGAACTAAGGTTAAATTGGTCAAGTCTTTTAAGTGTCAGAGACATTCTTCCATTAACAGTAATTCAGTAACAGTAGCCTGTTGCCTGCTTCAGGGCTTCCCTGCCTGCTGAAGGGTAACACGATGAGGATTTGATTGATTTGATTTGATTTTTCATTCAAGCATGTAAAACAGTTGATATGTCAACACATGTAATTTCACACATATCCAACAATAATAATCCAATATCAATTTACTTATACCTAGTACATGCTTGAACGGAGTAGGAAGAAGTTAGACTTATCTAGTCCTACCCGATGACATCATCTTACAACTTTTAAGTCCTAAGCAATATCTCTACATAAATAATTATCCTCTACACCACACAAGTAATATACTACAGAATTATTACAGTGTTAACATTCTACATAATTACATTCATAGATAATTATCTTCTACACCACACAAGTAATATACTAAAAAGTTTA